ACTCTACTCTCTCTCTCTACTCTCTCTCTCTCTCTCTCTCTCTCTCTCTCTCTCTCTCTCTCTCTCTCTCTCTCTCTCCCCTCCTCCCTTCTCTCCCCTCCCTCCCTCTCTCTCTCTCCTCTCCTCTCCCCTTCTCTTTCTCCCTCTCCCTCTCCCTTCTCTTCATTCCTTCTCTTCCTACACTTCCTTTCCTCTCATCCCCTTACCTTCTAAAATCCTCCAATCTCCTTACCCATTCCTCTCCCTCCTCTGCCTCCTCCAAGGCTATCTCCACGATCTCCTGCCAACTTCCTCCCCCCCACCTTCCGCACTCCTCCCACACATGCCACGACTCCCTAACCCTTCCGCACATCTTGCACATTCTGTCCTCCTTCCTACCCCAATAAATGCCTTCCCTCTTCCAGACTGAACTTTGCCACTCTCAACCACCTACTTTCCCCCCATCTCTTTTTTAAATATCCCGGTATACCGTCCCCTTTACCTTCCCACTTATTATATTTCGATTCCCCAATCCTTTGCCACCTCTCCTCTCTTTGCATACTCCTCCCTTTCCATTAAAGTCCATGTCCCCTTCCTCCTTTTCCTCCTCCATCCTCCTCATTTTCTTTTCTCTTTCCCCGAAGAATTCTCCTCTCTCTTCCTCCCAGTCTGACAGCTTCCTCCCTGCTTTTATCCTTCCCCTTATTTCCTCCCAGTATTCTCTTGCCTCTCACTTCCCCTGCTACTTGCCAATCTCTCCTCAAATCCCCACGTTCTCCTTGCCGCCCTAACTCTTAATTTATCTCTCTACAATTCTTCCCTTAGCAGATATCCTGGAGTTTTCCAACTCACCCCCAACACACCCTTAAATATCTTTCCTGCAATCTTTCAATTCCCTCCCTCTCCCTCCATCCCCAGACCTCCATCCCGTACAAAATCACCGCCCACACCAAAGCGTCGAATAACCACACCCTTTTCCCCCATTTCCCCCCTCTCTTGTCCTCCGTTTTTTTAGAATACATATCCCAGATACTTATGCCTTGACCTCTTCCACCGCTCTTCCCTCCCAATACCAGTTTACCTTCCTACTTCTTCCCCCTCCCTTCCGAAACCTCAAGATCTTCGACTTATCCACGTTCACGGTCAAACCCTTTTTTTTCATATATCCCTCCAATCTCGCCATCATTGCCATCATCTCCTCCTCCTCCTCAGACAACAATACCAGGTCGTCTGCGTATGCCAGAATGTACACCTTCTCATCCCTCAGCCTTACTCTTTCCCAACCTCCATTCCTCATATAATTCCTCTACATCCGCTATCAGCAGATTAAACAACCTCGAAACTAACGGGCAGCCCTGTTTCACCTCCCTGCCCGTCCAGAACGCCTCACTTATTTCGTGCCCTATCCTCACTCTATTTCTTGTTTCCCTAAATACATCTTCGCATCTTCTCACCAGTCTCTCCCTCACCCCCTCTCCTTCTTATTTCTCTCCCCAGAACTTCCCTGTCCACAGAATCAAATGCGGCCTTTAGGTCAACAAAAAACGCCACCATTTTCCCTTTTCCCCTCAACTGTCTGTTCACCAGATAGTTGAGCGCGAACATATTATCCATTGTATCCAGTCCCTTCCTGAAGCCCGGGGTTTTTCTCCTCTACTTCCTTCTCTAACCTTTCCCTTAATACCATAACGTAAATCTTATAAAGCGCTGGCGCCAGGATCACCCCTCTGTAGTCCTTCATCCCTCCCCCTCCCCTCTTTTTTTAACCGGAACAATTATCCCATCATTCCAATCCTCTAGCCACTCCGCCCCCTTCCCCATCCTCTTGCATAATCTCCATACCCAATTCATCAATCTTTCTCCTCCGTACTTCCACACTTCCCCCGGGATTCTATCCATTCCCATCACCTCCTTCAACTGTCCCACCGCCCTCACTACCTCTTCTCTCGATATTTCCGGTTCGTTCCCCTTCCCCTCTGTCCGCCCTAGTTCCTCTCACCACTCTGCCCTCCACTCCTCCCAACAATCCCTTAAAGTATCCCACCCAGTCCTCCATCCCAATTTTCTCATTTATTCCCCCCCGCCTCGATCTCCTCTCCTTGTTTATCACCTCCCATACCTGCCCTTCTGACCTTGCCTGCTTCGCTACCTCCATTTCTCGCTCTCTTCCCTCTTCTTTTTTTCGCACAAATTGTTATACTTTCTCCTCCATTCTTTATACTTTTCGCCCTTCCCTTTATCCTTCTTCTACCTTCTAAGTTCCTCCCTAATCCTTTTTTTACACTCCCTACATTCCTTATCCCACCATCCCTCCTTTCCTTTTCCGCTCCTATCTATCCCTTGTCCTTCCCTTAGATTTCCTTCCTTTATCCCTTCTTTCAGCCTTTCCCAACTTATTTCCTCTTCCTTTCCCTCCATCTTCCAAAAGCACTCGACCTTCTCTTAAAAGAGCCCCTTACCTTCTTCCGTCCATTTCCATCTAATTCTCTCCCCACTCTTTCTTTTCTTGTCCCTCCACCACCACCTTTTTATCCAAACCGTCACTGGGAAATGATCTGACTCCACCCTCTCCTCTATCTTTAACCTCTCTACCTCCTCCCACACTTCCCTATTCCCTATTACATAATCCAGTACCGAATCCCCGCGCCCTCCGGAATATGTCCAAGCACCCTTCCTACCCCCCTTCCCGCATCCATTGAAGATATACCATCCTACTTCCTCCAGCTTGCCTACCAACCACCTACCCTCTTTGCTTATCTTCCCACCCATCGATCTTCTCTCCTCCTTCCCCTCTCCTCTCTCCTCACCCTCACTATCCCCCCATCGTTCCCGTTCTCGCGTTAAAGTCCCCCCCCACTAATGTCCTTATTCCCTCGCCGCAATCCTCCGCCCATGTATCCAATTTCTCCCACTTCTCCTCCAAATCCTCATTCACATAGACCCCCACTATTCTCCACTCTTTTCCCTCCACCCTTATCACCTTCGACAACAGACTCTCCGCCTTCTCCTTCTCCACGATTTCGATCCCCCTCCTCACTCCCATCATCATCCCCCCCATCGCTCTACCTTTTTTGCTCCTTCTTTTTGCCAATTGTACATCCCAATTATATCCCTTCGGCAGTTTTCCTTTCGCCTTCTCCTATCCCTTCTCCCATGTCTCCGATAGACATATCCCAGTCCATTAAACTCTTCCAGAAATCCCCATCCTTATTCCCTATGCCCGCCACATTCCAGAATACCATTTTGCAACAATCCTCATCCCTGCTTCCTCCTTCTCCACTGCGTCTCTCTTTTCCCCTCCCCCTTCTCTCCCTTCTCCCCCTCCATACGTCTCCGCCTCTCCTCCCCTCTGGCTCTCCCCTCATCCATCTAATCTTCCGTTCCACTATGCCCTCTTTCCCCCTTCCCCCGAATTTCTCCTCTCCTGATCACCTCTTTTTCTCCCTGCCCTATCCCTCAATACTTCTTCCCTCTCGTCCCAGAACCACCACTCCCCCCTTCTATTATCACTTTGTTGTTCCCTATCCATACCCTCGCACCTTTCCTCCTCCATTACTACTTCTAGATCTTTTCTCCATCCACGTCAGGTCATCTTCAATCCAAACTTTTTCCCCCTTTTTCCCCTCCTTCTTTTTCCCCATTACTTCCCTCTTATCTCTCTCTTTCAACCTTATCACCGCCACTCCCCCTCTGCTCCTTCCCTGTTTTCACCACCTTTTATTTTCCTCCATCTTCACATTTGTCCCTATTTTTTTTTAGCACCTCTTTCACCCCTTTCCTTGGATCTCCTCCCTCCTCCCTAAAGTCCCTAACCACTATGTTATTTCTTCTTTCATATCTTTCTCTTTTTTCCTCTCTCCTCCTCCAAGATTCTCACCCTCTCCTCTATCTCCTCGCTCCCCTTACCTCCCCTTACTCGCCTATCTCCCTTTTCCAGCAATTTTATTCTTTCCTCCAACTCTTCTATTTTCTTCCCTCCATCCCCTCCCTTTAAGCCTTTTTCCAGCTTTAACTTCAGCTCTCCCATTTTTTTCCATCCTCTCCCTTTCGACCCTCCATTCCTCCTCCCTTCTTTTCATTTCCTCCAGTTCCCTTCTAATGCCCCCCAAACTATCCTTCATCCTTTCCCATTTCCCCTTGAACTTCTTCATCCAGCCCTCCCAATGCCTTCGGAATAACATCTTCCCGCCCTCTTCGGACCTCACCGGCGACCTTGGAGTTATCTTGCTCCTCTGGAAGCCTTGCTCCTCCTTTTCCCTTTCCCCCCCTTCCTAATCCATCCGCTGCTTCCTCCTCCAACTCTCTCTTCCTCTTCATCATCTCCCCCGCTATTCGTCCTTTCCCTTCCTCTCTCTCTTCCTCTCGCGTCCTTTCCTCTTTGCCCCCTCTCCCTCATTATCTCCTCCCTTACCCCTTTGCTCTCCTCTTTCTCCATTCCTCTTACCTTCTTAAGGCCACCTTCCTTTCTCCACTCCGGCTTGACTCTACAACTGCCCCTTGTATGCGCGCCTTAAGGCCCATGTGCCGCATACTCTAGAGGTCATCTCTCTACCTTCCCACTTTACTCCTGACCAGAATCCGCTCGCCTCTATGCGCCAAATACTCTCTCCCTTCCCTCCGCTCCTCTACCCGCCCCCCTACCAAAGTACCTAACCTCTCTCTTCTGTCTCCGACTTTCAGCATTCCACTCTCTCACCCTTCTCTCCCTCACCTTTCCTTCCACTCTCCACACTTCTCGCTTCTTCTCTCTCTGCCCTCGCACACCTTCCTTTACCCAAACTCGCCACTTTCTCACACTCTGCCTCAAATTATGCTGCCACACGACTCTTTCCACACCCGCTCCGGAAACGAAAGTCCATGTTATATGTATATATGAATATATATATACGTATAGCCAACGACGATTGTCTAAATGCTTAAAATCTTCTTCGCTTGATTTGATACTGTTTGACAATTTCCTTATTAATTTAAAGTTACAAATGTTTTGATACAATGTGCTTAGTTTAGCTAGTTCAAAATATATATTGTAACAAATTATTAAGCAATGCGAAGAAAATATTTCGCACTTACCAACATCGGCTATAATTAACATATTTTGCATCAATTTTAATTCATCATATATTAAGTGCAGTAATAAGTTTGTTAAATTTTATTAAATTGTGAACAGTTTATATTTATAAACATTTTCATGCAGAAACCAAATTTAAAGAAAATATAATTATAAAATATAATTATTTATTCTTCATGAAAAAGTGCAGTAGACATCGAATATACATGTGTCATAGCTACGAATGTAAGTCCTTAAACTCTCTTTTTCGCTTAATCTGATATATTACTTACACTATTCATTTTTTAATTAGTTACAAAGTCAGCATGCATGTAATAATCAAGTTTAAGCAATTAAATTATAATAAATTAGCACATCAGATTAAGTGATGAAAGTTGATATGAACCATATATACTTTTTATCGATTGTAATTTTTCATCAAGCATATGTATAATCAAGTTCATTAACGCTTATTAAAGTGTAGATAATTTAATATAAAAATGTAAATGTTTTCATACAGAAATCATGTTTGTATAACATATAAATCTTATATAATATTTAAAAACCTATTTATATATTTAAAAAATGAAAAATAAATTATAGACTGAATAAATTGCTGCATGATTTTTCTATGGATTTGAGAATTTTGATATAAAAATGTTTACTAACAGTATTCTGAACGATTTGACTTAGAGGGCACATTTTTTAAACATATTTTTTAAGCAATCATTATTTATAATATCAATTCATTAATTAATATTTACAATGATCGACGTGTTGGCTCATGTAATTTTTCTGGAGACTTGCAAAATGATGGGATGCTCATTAGCATCTTGAATCACAAACTGGTTCAATTTGATGGCAAATATTTTCGCTTATTATTTATTAATAAAATTTATTAGTAAATATATTAGTAAATAAATAAAAAAATCTGTCTCCAAAATTTTGCATCAATTTCTAATATGTATCAATAGTTTATAATTTATTTTTATTCTAAAATATTACATAATTATATAATACATTCATTATATAATATAAATAGTTTAATAGTTTAATAGTTAAATATTATATCCTCCGATAATAAATTATTTTTGAATTTTACGTTCTTTACTTGTGAAAAATATTAATTTTTACGTAAAATGATTTTAAACAGATATGAAAATGCTATGTACTGTGTAGGGAAGGAGAGTACCAAATAATGAGCACTTCAATTTAACTTTTCTTCGCTGCATATAATAATACATTTTTTGCACTTCTATCAGACGTTGATAGTTTAACTACATACTTTTCTACAAAGCTCTTATTTACACTAATCAATAAGATAAAAAATGGACATACTAGATGGAATAGAAAGTTGTACAGACCGAGTATCTTCTATGATAATTAGCCTTTACAACTTTCTATTAAAGCTAAATCTGACACATTAAATATACTAAAACATGTACCTGCTCTAGTGCATTATTAGAATTAGTCGCAGTATTTACATTTTCATTCATTTCATAATTTTCTTCATTATCATCCGATATATCATTGTCCAATCTATCACTGTTCATATTCATGTCATCGATGGTATTATTTTCTTCATTATCATCTGATGTATCATTGGTCGATCTATTATTGTTCATATCCACATCATTGATAGAATCATCATCACTGATTCAGTCACGACGTCTATGACTGGAAGTGTGGAAACATTCGGCATACTGACATCACTTATCATTACCACGGGTTCAAGTTGCAGTTGATATTCATTATAATCAGAGTTACATGGTTGACTTTGGAAAAATGAATACGTTGTATACAAAAAATAAGATAATTAAAACATTAATTAAACACAAATTACACAATACATTTCAAAAACATTAAACAAATAAAAGTGTAAAGTAAAAAATTAAAATAAACAACTAGAAGCCGATCGAAATCTGAAATATCAATATTTTATCAGGTAGTATACGATTATATGTTTACTTATAAGCAAAATATGATATATGAACCACAAGAAATTATTTTAAAATATACTTATTTAAAATAGTGCCTTCAACCTTCCAGTAAATATATAATTCTTTTGACATTTTTGAAAAAATTGAATATACACTTGTAACGGAGCGCATCCCTCCGCTCCGTTTCTCCTCCGATTTTCCTCCGATCGATCATCCGTCGGGGATCGCCGACCATCAGGCGGAGTGCAGTAGTGGCCGCAAGAGGCATTTATGCCTCCTTTTTTAAGCTTCTGAAATTCGCGAACTCCGAAACGTCGGAGCATAGCAAGGGAATACCGTGTAAACATGACTGTGTTGTATTCGTGGTATTCCCCCCACGCCGCACCACGCGTCGCGCCAGCAAGCGCTAATGCTCCCCGCGCTGCATCGATACCGCGTCACGCAAGCGAGCGAGCGTCTCGCACCGCGCCACGACCGCATCTATAAGCGCGTAACCGATCCGCGTCCCGCGCCGCGCCGTTATCTTACCACCGAATTCCTTTTCTATTCTTCCACATCCCTCGCTCCGATTCCTTATCATTCCAAAAAACAATTATATCCGATCTTTTTTCTCCGCTCCTGGGGAGAGGGATGCTAACCCCGAGATCGACCAATCCGATCGAAAAATACCGAGGTCGATCTCGGATATAAAAAGGCATCGCTCTCCACAGAAAATCATCCTGTTCCATGCTTGCCTTCTGAGAGCATGTCTCGAGGAAAGCGAGTATCCGAACCGAGTCTGGTAAAAAGCTTGAGTTCTGTTGGGGCCCTCTCCAACGCGCCAAGTTCGCTTGGCCTGGCCGAAAATCATTTCCGAAACCTTTCACAGCAAGAGCTGCTAGGGTCTTCCCAGTGCGAGTTCGCTCGATCCGACTCCGTTGTCTTCGAACTCCACCACTGTGTATCGGGGTTCCCCCCGATACCACCGACCGATTCTGAGCACCGGGATACACTCCGGTCGGCCGAGCTCACTCGGCACCGACACCTCCATCTCTCGTCACAGCTGGGGCTCTCCTCGGCTGGCCGAATTCACTTCGGCACTCTTGAGACAGACGAGGGGTACACCCCCCGTCAGCCGAGCTCTCTCGGCATGGAATGGGCCCACCTGTTAACCGACCTGAACGGTCCGAACACCTCGCGAAAATTTCACCCTTGCGACAACACCCGCGCTTATAACACGCATACGCAATTTAAATCATCGGAGGATTTAAAGGTCCGCGACAAACACGTACGACCCCGCCGCCGTCGCGCGCGCCCCGTGTCACCGACTTTCGCGCAGCGACCAGTATCGCGCCGACCGCCGGAGTGATACCGCGTAAAAACCGTAAACATGCGCCGTCTCGCTCGTTCACGGCCAATTTTATTCGCGAATATTGGTGCATTCCATCGCGCTACCCACTGTTATTCTTTTTATTTGAATAAACTACTGTTACAATATAATTTCGCCTAACAGCTGACTCGAATTTATAACCAACATTTCTGTCTCCAACGTCCTCGCTTCCCCCTCCTGGTAACCGACTGATCGACTGATCCGCGCGAGAAAGCGAGACCGTTTTACACTTAAGAATCAATCACAGAGAGGCTGGTCATATGACTGTCTTGCTATCTCTTTCTTATACTTGAGGTTCCTATACTGCGCATCCACTTCGTGCAGACATCACTTATACATAAGGGAAAAGTAGAAGTTAGCAGTTTAGTGTAATATATAGAAGTCTGTGGCTCGACTGTTCGGCTAGCACACGTACATGGTTCCTTTCTCGTGTGCGTCATCTCCTCCACATCAGCGACGATATGCCGTTGTACGCAAAATTGGCATCTTTGGCGTCGCATTTTTCGAGCGTGCGCATTCGCGATTCATACAGGTGCGAAACAAAAAAAGAGATAAGTACATATGTGTCGGACATTATTGCGAATAACGCGAAAGTGCTTATTGAATCTAAAAATTCAATAAGACTACCTAATAAACTTGATCCGCTACTGGAAATAAAAAATAAGTACATTATCCAAAATAATGAATAAATAAAACTTCGCGATGATCGAATGACAAAATTATTTCATTATATTCGTGGAGAGATCGCAAGAATTATAATGATGGACGATTATGAAATGTCCATAATGGTAGATGATAAAAATGTATTCTCGTTGAATTTGCAAACGAAAACGGCAATGTCGCAGTGGGATATTTAGATTGATTGATCGGCAATAACCGAAACGAAAATAATATAGATCAATTAATTAAAAATTGTGAAAATGTTATTACACATTGGCCAACATTCGAAACCAGCAAATAAAATGAACAAAATTATAAAAAACGTGCAATGAAATATGCATGTGATAAAAATCATTGCATTTGGAGGTTAGTATTTAATGAAAAAAATAATATAAATATTGATCGATATAACAATAAGATATGTGTAGGTGTGTAGGTTTATTGTTACTATAATTTGGCTATATATAGGGGACGTAAATGGATTATGAAATGAAATTTCCGCTGTACACATATATTGATTAGTATATTTTCATACATGTATGTTATCATTTTTATAGATTGGACGAGCATGTTCAAATAACTGATTACATATGTGAAATATGACGTGGTTAATCTATCTAAAGAGGAGCGAAAAATGTTCGCAAAAAAGAAAATCAGCAGCGATAAAGAGACGGATGATCAAAGCAGCCAGTAAAGCAGTAAAAATGAAAGTAAATTCATACTTTTACTTCATCTAATTTCTATTTTATCAAATAAATTGGAAATAATGAAACCATGTAATATATAATGCAATTTTAAAATATGATTATCGGGAACATTAAAAGTTTTTACTTCATTATGATAATTCTAATTTTTCCAAAATCTTTTTCAATTGTTGATTTATTAATTTTATTCACATTTATTTTGCTTTATATTTTTTTACAGCGAAAAAAGGAAATTATGAAATTAAGAATCAATGTCCAAAAAAAAGAATACAATAATATTATAGAAAAATTAAAAAAAACGATGAAACCAAAAGAGTATCT